AAAAAAAAAAGTACTCAACTACTTTTGTAAGACATGAACTCGAACCAACTAACCCTATAATTTATTAGCAGAATTTGAAGTAAACAGTTTCCCTTTCAACCCAACCCACAAATTATTTGATTTGCAGTACAAAAACATTCTTGTGAAAACAAGACTCTTGAAAACCAGAGCTGTGCCTTAAGTCATGGGGTCTTTACCTTCCCTGCAGTAAGACAGAAAGATTAGAGGAAGTTAATCTCAGCAGAACTTCATTATTACACAAATTTGATGCATGTAGTTAGTTATACAACTAATTCCTATGTGCATGTTTGCACACCTTTCACCCGTAATTCTGATCTTACTACAAGTTTGCATTCACTTATGCCTCTATCCAGGGATTCCATACCAGTTAACCTGGAAATGGCTCTTGTCATCTAGTAAGCATCATGTTTCAAAGAGTACTGGAGAGACCCATGCTCTGCTGTAATTACACTTCCTTTGCAGTAAGGGCACTGAAAAGGAATTAAAATAAAAGTCCTTTTAAGAGCTAGTTTAATTCAATTAAGTAAAAGGCTTTTACTACTCCTTTATAGGAAGTCACATTTGTAACCTGATGTTTTTTCTAAACTCCTTACTGTTTGAACTTGGTCTTCAAGCACATGTTGAAAGAAAATATCTTTTGACACAATTAACCTGATTTCTCCAAGTTGAACAGAAGGCAAAGGCATAAATCAGCCCAGAAAACAAAGCAAAACACTATTACAATAAAGCACATCTCGTAAGAGAAAAAACATTTATTGTATTTCATCTCCAGTTCACATGCAACTGTGCTCAAGACTTACACCACAAGAACTTGCAAACATGTTTTAGGAAGCAAGAGCCAGGCTTCAATCAAGATTCACAAAACAATCTGGGCCTATGGTCCTGTTTGATTTAAGTTAATTAGAAATCAACATTAGATGTCTTGGTTGCACTTTTGGTTATGAAAGTATTATAAGAAAGTCTTACCGTGTATCAAGATAGTTGCATAAATCACAGCTCTACTGCTAACCCTAGAAGATTAAAACCTGCCTGAGGAACTGCCTGCAACATTGATGGACAAAGTAACACTGTCTCACAGTTGCCTACCACTGAAAATGCTGAAGCTGCAAGATGGCTCAATGTTTATTCATTGCATTAAGAAAACAAGCTGAAGGCATCAATTAAAACTTCATACAAGAGTATTCTGAGAACTGGTCCATGTATCCACTAGGAAAAGCCTGAATAATCCTGAAAGCAGGATTATTGTTCCAGTTGTTATTGTGATAACTGTCATTTTGCAGTGGCATGGAAGATTCTTTGAAATAGTTTAGAAAAGAAAAAGTGAGAAGAGAGAAGGAAGAAACAAAACCAAAGCAACAACAACAGAAACGGGTTCACCGGTACATCTAGTTTCATAGCTAAGAGACAAAGACAGAAGTTTTAATTAAAACCCAGATTCACGTTCCTCATGCTGATCAGCCAGGACAGAGACAACAGCTCAAACTGCATCCTCTGTGACATGCCGTTCAAAATATCAGAAGGCCAAAATAAGCCATTTGAGCTACTCTTTTAGCAGTATTTCCTTGAACTGTGTGGTTAATTTTATTAACACAGACTTTGCAGTCAGAATGTTTTATCTAAAAAAGCCTTCTTATCCTTCCTTTAAAGTTACACATTTATCATGGAATGCAAAGGTGTGAGTCACATTTTACCAGACATTATACAATGGATCTGAAGTCCTAGGAATCACCACTTCCAGGCTCCTTCCATTATTTCTACAATTTAAAAGGAAATCCTTACCAGTTAGTCTTTGTGATCCTCTGAGTTTTCCCAACTGAAATAGTTTCAGGTATTTTAAGAGAGATTTAAAGGTACAAAAATACCGTAATTCCTCATTTGACAGGTACATCTGAATGTTTAGTACTAATTCCCTACATTTCCACAAGAAAATCCTCAAATGCCCTTGATGTTTCACCAAACCCTGGCTTCTAATGCCTTTGTAGTAAAGGACACACCTAACAAACAAACTCATTGCTGATGAGCAAGTTGTAGAACAGCTGTAAAGAAAAAGGCAAGTTAAGACTTCCAGAAATTACATCCATTAAACTTAGAGCAAAGTCCTCCGTAGCCATGAATTTAATTCTTTAACATTAAACAAGCCATTTTCAAAGTTTTTCATACAAGTATATTGCCATCAAGCAGTGTAACATTTCAACATGAAGTAATTCAATGGCTTTCCAGTGCAAATCAATGAAGATTGCTTCTTTTCCCAACACTTTCCTGCAGATGTGCCTAAGAATACTTCTAGAACCTAAAAACCCATTCATTGACAATCATTCTGGTAGGTTGTATCTGAAGCCTAATCATATATTTATTAAAAAAAAAAAAAGTTTACTTTGCCTTTTCTCAAAACTTGTAGAATAAAACCCTATCAGAAAATTAAAAGACCTTTTTCCGCAGTTTGTGTGTCTTGAAAAAATAGCTCACACACATACATAGTTAAAGCAAACGCTACTGACATACTGCCTACCTGTCCTGTTCATAAGACAAACACAAGTGAACACCAATTAAATGGCATACAGAGCCCCTGTTCATGTTCTCAGAAGAATTGAGATTTTATTCCAATTCTGCAGCTGTTATTGACTATGTAGTTGATATGGGCTCCATATGTTACTTAGATCTATCCATTACACCTATTTTGCACAGGAATTCCTACAAATTTACAAACATCAAGCTAAGTAAAGACACAGAAAGGTTGGCATGATGTAGTTTGTGTATAGGTAACACCAAAGGCTGCTTACCAAGACCTAGTAGACACAGTCTTTCTAACCACACCCTAAGGAAAAACACAATAGGGCACTCAAATAGAGTCACATTCTTTGTAAGGATTTCAGAAAAGCTCAAAGGCGAGGAGGAAGTTTTATAAAAGAAAGCCTCACAAGAAACCCCATGTTGGACCTACTCAGAAAGATAAGAAGGAAAAAAAGAGTATCGATTTGATTCAGAAAGACAGTGCTTGCTAGGACTGCTTGCAACTTCTACACTTTTAAAGTGTTGAGGCTAAATAAAACCTCACTGGAGGACTACATTACAGCCAGATTGCTGCAAGGCTCAAAATTAGCAACTGGGAGAAACAGTATGGATGTACATGATAGCACTAACCATACTCAGCCATTAAAGTACTACATGAGATAAACCATCCATCCATCCACAGAGTACCAAAGTAGCAAAGTTCAAGTTTTGATGCTACTAGTTGCTTTTCAAAAGGTTTGTTTGCATTTTAAAGTTCCAAAGCTGCTCCGCTTCCTACAGACAAGAGGCATGCTTTACCAAACACAAACCTTCCTCAGACATTGAATATTTTGGGACACACACACAAAAAAACCTAACACGTTCTTTCAGGTGAGAAGCTAGCCAAACCTGACCTCCCTGCAATGATACAGCTAAGCTTTTGACTACATCTAGTGTGTTCTCTAGCACTCGGTAGCTTCAGATGAAGCATTAGTTGAGCCTGTCAGGAGCCAAGAGGTTCTATGGATAGACACTTCTATCTCCTCCATTTCCAGGAAATATGTTAGTACATGTATTTCAAGATATGTGTTACTCCAACTTTTAAAGGTATTGTCAGGAAACACACTAGAGAACTGACACTTAGTGATGCTCTCTACTCACACCTAGCCAGCAGACATCCTGTAAACTTGCAAAAAATAAATAAATAAATAAATAAATCTGAGGAACACCAAGTACTGGATGAAGAAAAAACATTTACTGTTACCAGTCACAGTTATGCCTCATTCCTAACTTAGTTTTCAATACCAGTTCCTAGGGAGAATTAAGATAGTTTGTACCATCGTAATTATTGGAAGGAAAGGGGTATTTAGCAAATATACACCTCTAAATTAATCAGTCACACAAAATGCAAAACAACTGCATATGGTGCATTTACTGTTGAAACTATTGTCTCTAGTAAAGCTTCATTAGACCTGCAGTCCTGCATAAGGTAACTAAACCCAGTACCCGCAGTAGAAAGTTACAGACCTGCATTTGCATATTGCTTTTTCAGTTTGTTCTAGCTGTTGCAGGACTAGACAGCCTATCTTTAAGATCCAGAGTTTTTGGGCTGGGAAAGTGCATTTTTTTTTAAGTGATTTATATTTGGGTAGATAGTACAAGAACAGAATAGAAAAAAACTAAGATATGAAATCTTAGAAATATACTCCTAATACATCACCTGCAAGTTGTTAAAGCATTGGTACCTCAGTTATGAGGTGTAGACAAGATATCACAAATTGGAGGAGACGAGGGCAGAGGCATTTAGAGCTTGCTTGTACAAACAGATGCCCTAGCCAGTAGAACTCCTAAGCGCTCCAATTCTGTTTTAATTACTATTAAAACGGTTATTAAAATATTAAAAGCTTCCAGTTGCTAGAGCTGTGAAATAGGTTAAGTGAAATTAAAGGTTTCTACCTCCCTGGGACTCAGGCTGGCTTCAATTCCAAGCCTGCTACCAGTCCGCGTGCCGCTGCAGCTGGCCCCCCATCAGTCCCACTCCCCGGCCCCACGCGGGCCCCGAGGCCCTCCCAGGCTCCCCCACCGGTCAGGGGCCGCCGCGACTTCTGATCTCCTATCGAACGGCGCTGCCGTTCGCGGCACGAGGCCGTTTCCCTTCCCCCGCACGGCCACCCCCGGCGACGTTACCGAGAAGGGGGAACCGCCGGGCCGCGATGCTGGGACCGGGCCCGCCTGCAGGTGGAGCGGCGGCCGCAGGCCTCGCCCACGCGAGAGCGCGGCGGCAGCAGGCCGGGACCCCGCCCCTTGCACACGCACCGAGCCGAGCTCCCCGGCCCGCAGCGGAGCCCCGCGCTGTCCTTCAGGACTCCCCCCCCCCCCCCCCGCCGCCGCCGCCGCCAGCCCCCGGAAGCGCACGACGGCAGCGGCCGACTCCCCCCCACTGCCTCGCCTCGCAGGAGCGGCCCCCGCCCCTCCGCAACGGCCGCTACCTGCTGCGGGCGGCGCCCCCCGCCGAGCCCCCTGCGCTGCTTCCCGGACGCGTGCCCCGGCGCTGGCCACCGCTCCCCGGCGCTCTGAGCGGCCCCACGCAGCGGCCCTAAAAGAGCCGCTCCCGTTGGCCGTTGCGCGCGCGGCTCGCGCCCGCCCATTGGCTCCTGGCCCCGTCGCTCCGAGGGACGAGGACGCCGGGGGTTGGCGGCCGGGCGGGAGCCGCACCCAGCGCCCCCGGGCGGCCCCCGCCACGCCGGCTCCGTGAGGCGGGCCCGAGGCCTGCGCCGCTCGCCCCGCGCCCCTCCGCGAAGCGCGCGGCGCTGCGAAATGGCTGCGGGCTGGAGCAGGGAGGCGCCGGGCCGGCTTCGGCCGTCACTGGCTGAACTGACGCTTGAGAAACCAGGCAGCCAAACGCCCCTGGACCCTGTGCCTGGCTCTGATTACCGGCCTATTGCCCGTACACATCGCGCCTCCGCTACAACAGCTATTGTGCTACATTGCCCCACGGTTGTTACCAAATACCGCCGGGCCGTACGTTGCCGTTGTGCCATCCCCTGCCACCGTACGCCATTCATTTCACAACTACGCATTGCACAGGTGGACGTGCATCAGATTTAAAAAAAAATACATCAAGTGTTCAAAAGTTAGGAAATACCCAATATGAGCTTGCCCAACCGGTATTACAGTGCATATAAATTATTACATGAGAGCTGCCGTAAACATTGACTTTGCTTGTGCAACTGCATGTTACTTTTTCGGAACAGTTTCTGCCTGATCCAGGCCATGAGAATGGGAGGTGTGCTCGTGTAATTAGCAGCTATTCAGTTTACATTTTCCTCATTGTTAGATGAGTCTCTCGTGATTTATTTATTACAGAGCAGTTAAACCATGCTCTGGATATGAAAACCTTAATCTCTTAACAGACTGCTTAGAATCATACAACGCTGGATATCAGAACATCTAGTGGGCAGTTTTTCAAAGACGTTATTCCTCAGGTAATACCTGCTTATCGAAGCTGAAGCATTATACAATCATCTGCTACACAGGAGAACCAGGGAACTCAGGCAGTGCAAAGATCTTAGTTCAAATCTCTCATGATCCTGCTAAAAGATTTTACTGCTTCACTATAGTAATTTTTAGCTATTATGGCACGGATGTTTCACCTTCTTGTTCTGGTGAAATCTTGACATATTGTAGCCTTTCTGACTATAGGAATGAATGCCTGTGTGAAATAGGCATTTCAGATTCCCCTGTATGGTGGAGCAGCTCAGAGATACAGTTGCAAAGTTACTTCCAGTGCATACCTACTCTTTAGAAAGATTATTAAAAAAAAAAAAAAAAAAAAAGTCCACATCCTATTGGGCACAAACAAATTATTACAGTGGTTCAATTCGGGTGCATTTTTTCAGAAGTCACTTTTTAAAATGTGTGTATTACAGGAGTTGGAAGGTTGGAAGTAAATGGGCAGATATTAGTGGTATTTCAACAAGGGAAAAGCAGTATATTTTGTCCAGTCTCATTTTCTCATTTGATAACAGCTAGGAAATGGTGGGGTTTTAAACTTTCTATATAATAAATGCCGTATAATCTAATGATTGTCATAACTCATTAATGATATGTTGTAATGCAATGACAATACCTTAGCTGATGCACTCGATATGAATTGTAGTCTATAATAATAATAATAATAATAATAAAGCAATTTTGGCATCAGAACTTTAAATCAAATTTCTTGGCAGAATAGGGGAAAACCAGAAAAATATATGTAGAAGTTATCAAACATGTAATCGATACGCTGAAAGTCACAGTTTTTCTTCACATTCATGGGTTCTGTGGGCTCCATACCTCTGACAAGATCACCACATCATCAGCACACATCAGGTGCATGCAGCACCACGAGGTGACTTAGCGGCAACACAGCAGAGCACAACATCACAAAGCTACCTTCAATGCCATCAGATCATTACAAGTATAAGAGCAGCCATAGCACAGCCTTATCCATTCACACTGATAATTGGTGAGTTCTGTTCAGTGAACTCAAAATATCAACATGTTTCAATGTAGTAACATTTGTCTGACTCAGTCTCTTGCTGCACTATGACAAAATGTCTCAACAAAGCAAAGCATTCCAGTGATACGGAATGAGTTCACAATGCTGTAAAACTTTTTCATCTTCTCAAGAGCCTTAGAAATTTTAGAAATACTGTGAGATCCAATGATCTGTTTTTTTTTTTGTTTTTTTTTTTTTTTTTTTTTTTTTTCCAGAAAATTCTGTCAAAGTCACAATTAATTTATCCTTCCTGAATTATTTATGAGCAGGAAAACATCACCGTGACGTGGTATCACAATGCATTTGCACTTTAGTGCAGTAACATATGGCTTCTCAAAGAACCTACCCAACTGGTTATAGTAGGTAGCAATGTGAAATCTTCATCTGAGGAAAAAAATGAGAAGGCACATAAACATGCTCTAGTTTGGGAATGCTCAATAAATTACTAAAAAAAAAAAAAAAAAAAAAAAAAAAAAAAAAAAGGACAAACAAACAAAAACTAACACATAGGTTTGCATCAGTTTAAACAAAAGGTGTTTGAAAGCCTGTTACCCAGCACAAAAATGTAGTGTGACACAGGGTTATATAAATCTCCAGGTGAACAAACAAGAGAGCCTCCAAAGGCAAACCTTGGTTTGTTCTCTGTGAGAGTATGAAACAAATGCCCCCATATTCACAGTCAGGGGGAAGAGAAAGAGAGACTGAGACCCAGTTCACATCTTTATATCCATTCAGGTTTCTGACACCTACCTACAAGTTATTTCATTCACAGGAATGTTCAAAGGACTGACTTAGTTGCATCTCTCCAATTTTAAGTGAGCCCAAGTTGTTGTAAAAATGTTGTGCATTTTATCGACCTTTAAATCTTCACTTTTACACCCTGCTTCCCAGACTAGGTGCCCCAGTCTCTCTGCTTTGGAAACTGAGAAAAGTGCCACCAGCAGAAGTGAGAAAGGACAAGTACCAAAATCATGAAGTATCATTAGAAATGACAGCCATGCCATAAGAACAAGATGTTCATATAAAAACTTTGTTTCTCTGTGCATAACTTTATCACTATTTACCTCAGAAACAGCTGTTTTTAGGCAAAAAAACGTCATTTTTTTTCTTTTTTTGAACTGTGGACATACTATAAAGGGTGCTTTTTTCTGCATAAAATAAGGCATGTATTTACCACAAGTTAGCTACTTGTGAGAGCCAAATGGATGCTCACTTCTGTTTGGTGAGCTTCTATATGGTAAATGCAACCATTTAGTTCAAGTATTAGTAATTATCAAATTTTACTTTCCATGCTGCCAGAAGTATGGACACAGACAGTTTCTGTTCAGCAAACTTACATGGTAGTAGCACTTTTGTGCTTGTGCTGATACTATACTTGAATTGGGTTAACAGCTGTATGTATAGGTGTTTATGAAGAGTGTATTTATGATGTTATGAGCATTAACAGATCTTACCCTTAAGCTGCAGTGCATTCCAGGACTGGGATTTATGCTAGAATTTATACTAGAATTTACAAACTTGCTTCTGCAGTTCATTGTGATATGGGAGATGCGATTTTGCAAAAGCACAAATCCAGGGTTTTGTATGAGGTACAGGATACTGTAATTAATACACGTAAAACTATTTGTTTTCTAACTTGAGATACTATGGTTGAAAGCAAAGGGCCTGACCAAAAGTAGTTAAACCAGTTTAGGAAAAGTCCAGGAAATTATTTTCATCTGTGTATTGAAACTAGTTACAGTACTAAAAGCTTTCTTTGGCTTCAAAACAGAGCAAACCTCTCATGAGAAGAAACTGTTACAATTTCACTCTCCCACGATGTAATGCTGGTTTTCGTCAAGTGCTGCTTTTGTCTTTTACAAATGAATTAACTGATTGAGTATACGTACTTAGCATTATGGATGTTTTTAAAATTTAATCTTTGCTGTGGGGGCACATTGCTGGCTCATGGTCAACTTGCTGTCCACCAGGATCCCCAGGGCCTTTTCTGCAAAGCTGCTTTCCACCCAGTTGGTGCTATCTATATGGGTGCATGGGGTTCTTTCCCAGGGGCAGGACTTTGCATTTCCATTTGTTAATTAATGCTAATTAATATTCAGTCTCTATTGAATTTATAAAGAATAATGATATTCTACAGCAGTCTCTTTTCCTTGGCTAAGTAAGTTATTTTAGTCTTTTCTCATGAAAGATCTCTACATCCCTAGTCATTCTTGTAGTGCTTCTCTGCACTCTTCCTGATTTCATCTTTCTTTAGCGTGAGCCTAGTAACTATAATAATGTACAGCAATTAAAGCAATATTTAACTCGCCCCTACTGGAAACTCTTCTCTTAGGTTTTATTTGTCTTTCTCATAGTTGCAAGAAATTACATATGTGTACATATGTACTTCTCCTTCTGTGTCATTCTCCAGTGAACAAGTCTCTAGCATGTAGCATTTTCATAACAGTTTCGGTCCAATGCCTAACACCCAGTACTATCAAATTTCATTCAATTTTCTCTTGCTTCAGTCTTCAGGACTACCATATTCTCAAAATGTACTCTGATACTGTTCCTTTCGGCTCTTTCAGCTTTCTGATTACGTAGATATTATTAACTGTATCTTCCCTTTTTGTACTGAAGCCATTAATAATGACATTATATATTGTATTGCCAAAACAGACTTTAAAGGAATTGAAGTAACTTCTACTTCCACTTGTGTATTTAGCACTGGTGATTATTTTCTAGTGGATTTGTCATCATTAGATGTGATTTCTTCACTGAAAATCAGTCTGCAATGGCGCGTTTCCTTTGCATTAAGCTTGTTCAAAAAGACTAGATTCACTAGAAAAATTTTTACAGAAAAATACTGGCCTCTCACACTTTGTCTTTCATTGGGCAATACTCTGCCTTTTAGGCCTTAAGCTGCTCAGCTATCAGCTATGGCTGATTCTCATCTTTTCCTGCATGACTACACACAAATGTCACTTCTCTTTTTGCATTCTTGGTGCTTCACTTAAAAGTAGCAAAAGTACCTGTCCTGAGACAGGTATGATCAAAAGTATGAAACTTAATTTCCAAAGAAATTTATTTTTTTCTTTGGAAATTAAGTTTCAGAAAATTGGAAAA